CTGAGGGGAGCAGTGGGCGGGTCAGGAGAGGCCTGCTGCGCCATGTGGTCACCTCCGGGGCAGGCGGGATCAAACTCATGCAGAAGCGGTGGAAAGCCGCTCAAGCTCCTTTGTGCTGTGCTTTAACCCGCTGCACCACCAGGGAGGGCCTGAAGATGGTTTTTAACTTTCAGGAAGAATAGTTCTAAAGACGATGTTCATTTTCTTCTAGACCACTTCAGGGCACATAAGGAGATTTTTTATTTATCTTTTTAAAATAATTTATTCATACATACAAGAGCTGGGGTATAGGCCAGAGGTGTGCAGGGAGGGGTCAGGTGGGAGGTAGTGGTGGTGGTGAGTTGATTCACCAGAGACAGAATGGGGAGCAGAACAGGCAGATGTACTGAAATACATTGCTGAGGGGAGCAACAGGGGAGATGGGAGGTCTGCTGTGCCATGTGGGTCACCTCCCTGGTGGGGAATCACACTGCTGCAGTGGCTGCTGATAGCCTCATAGCGAGGACTTAACCCCTTGCACCACCCTAGAGAGGCCCAATTTTATTTATCTTAAAGCACTTTGTCTTAATTGCAAAAAGGCACTCGGCATGTGAAAAGAGCAAGTACTAATCAAAGATGCCTTATTCTTTTAAAACCGTTATCTCTGTACTTCTCTATATGTGAGGAATAAGCCAGGCTGTAAGATGCACAATTCAGCTTCCCAGAGAATCATTCTCTCCTAAGTCATTAGAAATATTTTTATGTCAGACATGGATGTATTACAAAGTAGTGTGCAAAATTCACATAAATTATAAAAACAGTGTTTCAGGTCCTCCCTGGTGGCGCAGCGGGTTAAAGCACTGCACTAAAAAGCTTAAACCACTTCACATGAGTTCGATTCCCGACTGCCCCGGAGGAGATCCACATGGCGCGGCAGACCTCTCCTGACCCGCCCGCTGCTCCCCTCAGCAGTGTACTTTGTTGATCTGCCTGTTCTACTCCCCTCTCTGTCTCTGATGAATCCTCTCACCCTCCCTATCTCTGGCCTGTGCCCCAGTTCTATATGCATAAATAAATAAATCTTTAAAACAAACAAACAAACAAACAAACAGTGTTTCAGAGAAACTTCGTGTCAGTGGTAAAGCTTGATCTCTACCCAATGGTAAAGCACCCCTGTTTTCTGGGCCATGATAGTTGTTGCTAATACTCTTCCTTTCAAGGAAGGGTGGGAAGACAAAGAGCAATGTGGCTTGAGGTTCCAGCTCTGTTCACCCCCACAGTTTAAGTAGCCTAATTATATTTTTGCATGTAAAATGACATCTTTTCAACAACTAAAATCTTAGGATTCTGTAAAATCTTCTGGAGCAGAAGTGAAAGAAGGGGTTCAGTTTTACTGGAGATAGATACTCAAGGTTGCTAGAGCCTCCTATGGTACAAGTATCAAAATTTCGAAGGTATTTCACATTATGGGCTTTCATTTACATGAGACTCACAGAATGCATGTTTGGGTTGTTTAATGTCTGCATTGTTATTTCAGTGCAGATGGGCGTTTTGAAGGCGCCAGTACAAAAACGGTCGTCCGATTCGACGGAACTGTTACCTGGACTCCACCAGCCAACTACAAAAGTTCCTGTACCATAGACGTCACATTCTTCCCATTTGACCTCCAAAACTGTTCCATGAAATTTGGTTCTTGGACTTACGATGGGTCACAGGTTGATATCATTTTAGAGGACCAAGATGTAGACAAGAGAGATTTTTTTGATAATGGAGAATGGGAGATTGTGAGTGCAACTGGAAGCAAAGGAAACAGAACTGATAGCTGTTGTTGGTATCCTTATGTCACTTACTCATTTGTCATTAAGCGCCTGCCTCTGTTTTATACCTTGTTCCTCATTATACCTTGCATCGGCCTCTCATTTTTAACTGTCCTTGTGTTTTATCTTCCTTCAAATGAAGGTGAAAAGATTTGTCTCTGCACTTCAGTTCTTGTCTCCTTGACTGTGTTCCTCCTTGTGATTGAAGAGATCATACCCTCCTCTTCCAAAGTGATACCACTGATTGGAGAGTATCTGGTGTTCACCATGATCTTTGTGACACTGTCAATTATGGTGACTGTCTTTGCTATCAACATCCATCATCGCTCTTCTTCAACACACAATGCCATGGCTCCATGGGTACGCAGGATATTCCTTCACAAGCTTCCGAAACTGCTCTGCATGAGAAGTCATGTCGATAGGTACTTCACTCAAGAAGAGGAGACTGAGCGCAGCAGTCGGCCAGAATCGCCGAGAAACACTTTGGAAGCTGCACTTGATTCTATTCGCTACATCACCAGCCATGTCAGGAAGGAGAACGATGTCCGTGAGGTGTGTGTGTGTATGAAAAATGATGGCTGACTGGACGCTGATTTAGGCAAACAGCATGGCCCTATGGCCATGTGTAGACTGAGGGCCAGAAATGTTGACCTCATGCATTATAAAAGATCTTTGCTGCAACTTGATTGAGTTAAAACTCTCTTAGATGGGGCTCCTACACAAATCTTACTTTTCCATTTCCCTGATGGTGTCTTGGATGACTGTAAAGAAAATGTAGTGTTATGTTGACTGTTCTTTTCTCAGATATGGTAATTCTACCCTGTGGTTTTTGTCTCTGACATGATGAATATATTTTTTTAAAGATTTATTTATGTATGCATACAGAGCTGGGGTACAGGCCAAAGGTGCAAGGGGTTGAGAGGATTTACCAGAGACAGCAGGGAGCAGAATAGGCAGACTGATGAAGTACACAGCTGCGGGGAGCAGCAGGCAGGTCGGGAGAGGTCTGCTGCGCTATGTGGATCACCTCTGGGGTGGGGATCGAACTCATGCTGAAGTGGCTTTAGATTTCAGTGCTGTGCTTTAACCCACTGTGCCACCAGGGAGGGCCCCATGATTAAACTTTTATCTTCAATGACTTTGTTTCTGAATTCTGCGGAGATCTACTGGCACAACTGTGTTATCATTTAACAGATTACTAATGACTTAATATTTATCTTTTATTTTTAAAATATGAATCTAATGTTAAACTTTAATAAAAATAGCCAAACTATTTTTAAATGTTTTGTTCACTATTACAAGAGAATGTTAGTAAAATTAAAGGCAGTAAGGCATTCTTGTGTCTTATATACCAAAGTATTCATAGGAAACTTAGTAATAGTGCCTAATGACATGCTTAATTTGCATAAAAACAAAAATCTGTTTATGATTTTATTATAGAAAAGTAACTATCATTGGCTCCCTATTTAAGTTTAATAGATAAAATACAGGAATTGAATATAAATGCATATTATTATTGTGATCATACTGGACCAGTATTTCTTTCAGGACAAAATTTCAATCTTGTTACTATTATTTATTCTATTGTTAGTATTTTAAAATATTGTATAATATTACTCTAGTAATATTTTAAAAATTGAATTTGTTTTGAATATTACATTACAAAATTATGAATGGCTAGAATTTTTTTAAAAAAATAGAAACATTTCCAGTAGATGTCATAGCAAATGAAATGAATCTAGTAAGTTAACAGAACTGCAACCAAAATATTTGTATATAGGAAAAGGAAGACTTTAAAAGCTTTATTATAAAATATCCAAGCACTATAAATGTTTTAAATTTATGAAAAACCTATTAATAAACCTTGTTATGTATTGCAAATCAGCAATGTGTAAATCAACCAACTGTGTAGAGTGTTTGAAATCTGCGGGAGACTACCTTTGAGATCATCAGGGTTATTCTCACCCTGAGCTGAGAGTGTTGGGTCATTTCCTGCTTCAAGGCAGTGATAGGAGGCAGAAACTTTCAGCTTTTAAGTCTGTTCTATTATTAATTACACAATTTTCATTATGCATTTAATCCCCCCTTTTTTTTTACTTATTTTTTGTAACAGGTTGTTGAAGATTGGAAATTCATAGCCCAGGTTCTTGATCGGATGTTTCTGTGGACTTTTCTTCTGGTTTCAATTGTTGGATCTCTTGGGCTTTTTGTCCCTGTGATTTATAAATGGGCAAGTATAATAATCCCAGCTCACTTTGGAAATACAAATAAGTGATATAAAGGCACATGTATATTATGGCACCTGTAAAATTATGAAAATGTAAACTATATTTAAGATTTCATGCCAGCTTTAACAGATTAACAGCTGCTGACACTGGTTTATCTTAATGAGTTGCCTATTAGAACATCTTACCCGCATGCCCAAAGTAGTGATTAACCAAATAACGGCTGACCTTCTAATAATAGCAAGATACTGTGTTGGTAAAAATCGAATGTTTGTATCTTAGAAAATAATACTAATTCATAGTTAACAGTGAAGTGCACCTTTTGGTTGTGCTGGAAAATTCCTGTTATATTTGAAAACCAATTTCAACTTTTTATGCATATGATAAAAGTGCATTTTAAATTCTGTCATGTATTCACTGGGAATCTTTAGTATATTATACTTCTGTATTAAATAAACTACTTGGTGTAATAACAATTTAATGTGAGGTTGCTTATTTATAAATGAAACTTAGGGAATCCTTTAAGGCTTTACTGTTTTCTTGAGATGTGCTTAAACTAAATTATTGTAGTAACTATTTTTATAGCTTACCTTCCATTATAAAAACATATAATAGATAAGTTTTAGGGACATAAAGTAGCCTATGCTTAATATTAATTTCAGTCACCCTTTTTTTATAGAACCACCTTCTATATTATTTATGGTAGCATCCTTTTTCTTTATCTTAGAAGAGTCCATGACAATCAAGTGAATACCATCTTTAAAATGTGTGGGCATCCTAGTATATCATTCTTTGAGAAAACGATCTCCCAAGACTAAAAGATGGCATTCCAATTAGGTATAAGCACATTGTTACATACCTGTAATGTTTTTATGTTTCTCATTCTAGCAACTGGAATACTAAAACATTTAGAGTTGCAAGGGACTTTAGACATACTTGTCAGCAGTCTGACTTTCCATGGTTTCAGTTACCTATGAGCAATCATGGTCTGAAAATATTATGCACAGTAATATATTTTGAGAGAGAAATCACTGTCACATAACTTTTATCGCAGCATTTTTTTATAGTTGTTCTATTTTATTATTAATTATTGTTGATCTCTTACTGTGCCAAATTTTTAAATTAACGTTATCATAGGTATGCACATATAGAAAAAGTATAATATATGGTTTGGTGCTACTCAAAGAGTCTCAGTAATTCACTTGGGATTCATCTCTGATGAAGAGAGGGGACTAAGAGACTGCTATAACCTAGTTTTAGCCTAGTTTTACTTATTCAGTAGAGTATCATGTATCAAAGTTTATCAAGTTAAAATTTATCTCTACATGTTCCTGATTTAGCTATAGCCAGAAGAAAAACACTGATAGAAACCTAGCATTTAATTTAGAACTGTTAGCTCTTGAGAGAACACGTTATTTATTTACAGTAATCAGTTCAGTAAGTTCAAATCAAAACTCTGAAAGGCAGAGAGGATCCTTTATAACTTGCATTTTATTGTAAATCAGTGTTTAATGGTATTTAATTAGTGAAAAGTTGGGTTTGAGAATCTAAATTGCCTAAAGCAACTTTAGCATGTATATATTCCCCCATCCTTCTTATATCTCCATTACTGCTAAACTTTTTATATGTGAATAATTTTTATTTAAATCTTTCTTTTGACTTAATGAAACATGACTTAAAGTGTGCTGCAATTTTATTAGCTTTATTTTTGCATAGGAAAAATAATGAGAAGATTAAAACAGTCTCTCTGAATTGCCCCTTGCCAGTGGTTATTCAGACTCAGCGGTGTAGTATGGGACACTCTCTTCTTGAAAAATTTCCTAAAGCACTGGTTCTCAACAAGGGACTGTTTCATTCCTTGGGGAACATTTAACAATTTTTAGAGACATTCTTGCTTTTCATATTGACAGTGCTGTCGGTATACAGTGGGTAGAGGCCAGTGTTTCAAAATTCCCCCAACACATAATTATCAATCCAGACCAAAATGCTAGTAGTGCTAAGCTTGAGAAACCTTATTCTAGAGGTTCATGAGAAATCAGTATGTGATTAGGCATAATTTCTGATTGTATAATAATTTAGAATTATGTGAAATAAATATTTGCGAAATAGGCATGGGTCTATAGACTCTTGAAAAAAAATGGTAAAGAACAAGAATTACATGGAAAAATGGTGGTAATGAAGTATTGCAGAAATATAATATAGCTTCAAGGAAATTTTTGACTAAATATGAAAACCTGTTGGGAAAAATGTTGTGATACTGAACCAAAGGGATGTTCACATTTCTGAGAAGCAAGTTTTTCTATCCAGCTATTCAATCACTGAAAAACAAGAAACAGTTTTCATATTTAGCCCATTTTTACATACTGCTTTTCATAACACTAATCACAATAGAAAAATTATTTTTTGTCTGTTTTCACCTTACCAAAAAGGCTAGTTAAATGTTCATTTATCCATGATAAACACTCTTGAAATTTTCTTGCATGAATCTATTTTGACAGAAATCAAACAGCTGGAAAATAAGTAAACCTTAAAATGCAAAAAAAAAGCGCCCCAAACTTGATGATCTTCATGACATCAGGTGTGGTAGTGATTTCTAGGGTATAACACAAAAGGAACAGGTTACAAAATGAAAAAATGGATCACACTGATTTTTTTATTTTGTGCATCTAATGATACTAGTAAGAGAGTAGAAAGGCAACCCACAAAATGGGATAAAGTGAATTTCATGTATCTAATAGGGATTAATATTTAGAATACATAGAAGCCCCTTAATTCAACACCACAAAAACAACCTGTTCAACAGATGGGCAAGTCAGGAAAAATAAAATCCACAAAACTTTATCTAGAATCACCAAGAAAAAGAGGACCAAAAGCAATCAGAAATGAAAGGAGACATCACAACTCACATGACAGAAATACAAAAGATCATAAAAGACTACTATGAACAATTATGTCACAGAAATTGGGCAACCTCTAAGGAATGGATGAATTTCTAGAAACATACAATGTGCCAAAACTGAGTCATGAAAAAATGGAAAATCTAAACAGACCAATTATTAGCAAAGAGATTAAGTTAGTAATCAAAAACTTTGCAACTAACAAAAGTCTAGATGGCTTCACTGATAAATTCTATTAATATTCAAAAAAATTAATAAGATTTCTTCTTAAACTCTTCCCTAAATACAAGAGGGAAACTTCCAAGCTCATTATATGAGGTTAACATTACCCTGACTCAAAAATCATATAAGGACACCATAAAAAAAAATTACAGACCTGATGAATGTAAATGCAAAAATTCTCAACAATTATTAGCAATATTAGCAAACCAAATTCAAGAATACATTAAAACGATGTATACTATGGCCAAGAGGTATTTATTCCAGGCATGCAAGAATGACTCAACAGCCACAAATGTAAACAGCACATCAACAAAATGAAGGATGAAAATAAAACAATAATTTAAATAGCTTCAAAAAGGCATTTGACAAATTCAAAACCCATTAATGATAAAAACAATGAATATAGTATGAACAGAGGGAAGGTACTTCAAGTAATAAAAGTTATATATGACAAGCCCAAAGCTAACATGATACTCAGTAGTAAAAAGCTTTCAGTTTTTCCTTTAAGATCAGGAATAAGACAAGGTTGCCAAATCTTGCTGCTAATTTATGCAATGTAATTTTGTGAGCTCTAGCCAAACAGAACAAGTAGGTAAAGAAAAAGAAATTAAAGGCATCTAATTGGATAGGAAGAACTAAAACTCACTATTTTCAGACACCATGATATATATATATATATATATATATATACACAAGACTCCATTAAAAACAATTGGAGCTGGGGCCCTCCCTGGTGGCGCAGCGGGTTAAAGCACAGTACTGAGAGGCTGAAGCCACTTCCACATGAGTTCGATTTCCGCCTGCCCCGGAGGTGACCACGTGGCGTGGCAGACCTCTCCTGTCCCGCCCGCTGCTCCCCTCAGCAGTGTGCTTCGTCGATCTGCCTGTTCTGCTCCCCTCTCTGTCTCTGGTGGAGCCTCTCACCGCCCCTGAGCCTCTGGCCTGTACCCCAGTTCTGTATGTACAGATAGATAAATCTTTAAAAACAAACAAACAAACAAAAAACAATTGGAGCCAATAGGTGAATTCAGTAAAGTGCCAGGACATGAAATCAATATGCATAAGCTGGTTTCATTATTTTTACACTAAGAATGAACCATCAGAAAGTAAAATTAAGAAAACAATCTCATTTACAATTGCATGTAAAATGCACTATGTTTAAAATGCAGTGTATACTTAGGAATTAATGTAATCAAGAAGATGAAAGACTTGTACAATGAAAACTCTATGACATTAATGAGAAAAATGGAAAACACAGATAAATGGAAACATACTGCATGCTTACAAACTGGAAGAATTCATACTGTTAAGATGTTGATAATACCCAAAACATTGCAAATGTATTACAACCTCTATCAAAATGTCAATAGCATTTTTCACAGAAATAAAACCATCTGAAAGTTTGTATGAAGTCACAAAAGACCTCCAATAACCAAGGCAATCCTGAGAAATGAGAAAAGCTATATATATCATGTGGCCTGAACACAGCTATATGAAAAGCCAGAAGAATCAAAACAGTATGACATTGTCATAAAAACAGGCACAGATCAAAGGGATGGGGTGGACCTCCCAGAAATATGCCCATATGTAAATAGTCAATTTATGAAAAAGGAGCAAACAATATATAATGGAGAAAGGATAACTTCTTAATAAATGGTGTTGAAAAATGGGACTGTATACATAAAAGAATAAAACTGGGCCACATGATGCACAAAAATTAAAATGTATTAAAGACTTGATTGTAAGACTTTAAGTCAAAAAACTTCTTGAAGAAAATAAGGTGGTAAGTTTCTTGACTTTGGTCTTAGTTGTGAGGTTTTAGACATGACACCAAAACAAAGGCAACAAAAGCAAAGAAAAACAAGTGAGACTACATCGAACTAAAAGCTCTACACAGCAAAGGAAACCATCTATAAAATGAAAAGGAAGAAAATATTTGTAAATCATATATCTGATAAGGGTAGTAAAAACTGAAAAGACATTTTTCCAAAGATGACCAATAGGTACATGAAAAGATGCTCAACATCACTAAAGATCCGAGAAATGCAAATCAAAACCACAATGAATATAGTTATTATCTAACAAACAAAAAAACAAGAAAGAAGTGTTGGCAAGAATATGGAGAAGTAGGAACTCTTATGCAGTGTTAGTGGGAATGTAAATTGGTGTAGCCACTGTGGAAATACAAATGGAGAGTCCTCAGGAATTAAAAGTAGAATTACCATACTATCCAGAAATTCCATTTCTAGGTTTTACCCAAAAGAGTTGACAGCAAGATCTTGAAGAAATATTTGTATACATGTGTTCATAGCAGCATTATTTACAGTAGCTAAAGCATGGAAGGAAACCAGGGGTTCACTGAAGGATGAGTACTATGCAAAATACCATTTAAACCTACAATAGGATATGATTCACCCTTAAGAAGAAATGAAACTCTGTAACCTTGATGAACCTTGAACCTATTATGCTAAGTGAAACAAGCCAGGCACAAAAAACGAACATGTGAATTAATTTACACAAGATATGTAAACTAGTCAAAATTATGAAGACAGTAGAAATAGGATTGCCAATGGTTGAACCATTGGCTGGGTAGAAAGGAGTAATGGACAGTTATTCTTTAATGAGTATACAATTTTATAAGATTATAAGGGTTATGAGAGTGGGTGGTGGTGATCATTAAACAACAATTGGGCTTAGTTTAAACCACTGAATTATGTACTTAAGAATGGTTCAGGTGGTACATTTTTTTTGTTCAGTGAATTAACACAATAAAAAAAAATGAAAAGAAACAGCATGCACAAGTACCCTCAGACAAACACACCATTAAGTGCTTATGCATCATCTCTGGCCATTAAAGGTTGCAGAAACAGTCCTGTTGTCCCCAAAATGCACACCAGGATGAAAACCCACAGAAAAATACGATCAATAACCATGGCAACATATTTCCAGTCGTCTTGAATCTGAAAAACAAAACAAAAATCATGAAAAAGGGAAGAATAAAATATAAAGGAAAAGCAGAGAGAACGTGTTTGATATTGAATAGTTATAAAAACATTGCAAATAGCAGAAGACAACATTCTGTGTTCATGATCAAGACATCTTTTTCCCCTAGTTGTAAATGCAGAAAAATCTATCATTCTTAAGTTTCTCTTATGCACCAAAGAAATAAGTGTATTTGTCATGTTAAATGTCATAATTCAGAAATTTCTTAATGTGCATATATTCTATATTTCCTAAATTGAATTCCAGTTTATAACGTTAGTAAACCATTTCCTTGACTTGTACATCTATGGGAGGATGTATAATATAGGCCATTGTTAGAATAACAGGTACAATCCAATATCACTTACCATTACTCTTTCTTATCCAGTTTAGATGCTAATTTCTTTTTTAACATCTGTTTCAGAAATGAAATAAGCACATCAGGGAAAACCTCTGATGATTTTCTTTCCCACTACTCCTTCACACAATGTCCAAAGTACCATGGAATAGGGTCAAAGTGTGATGGAGTACTGTACCATTATAAAAAGGGCTGAAAACAAGAAATAATTGCTGACAAAATAAAAGATGCAAGAAGGAGTAAGACTAATTTTATACAATACAGCTTCAATTTAGGCTTAAAATAGGAAGGAGGATTACATGTTAATTATACTCCTAGACAACTCTGAAAGCAAGGAAATCATAATTGAATTGAAAAAGAAAGAACCCATGAATCAACTGATTTTGAAGAAATAATCCCATAATAAAGAGGCATCATGTGATTTAGTAATTTAGTTAAGTACATTGAAATGGACTGGGAGACAAGGATTTTATTTCATCAATATGAGTTCAGGTAAATGTGATATCTTGATGACATTAAAAGTCATAGGTAAAATGAGAATTATAATGCCAGATTTGCCATGAGGTATGTCATTGGAATTCCTGAGACCTTGGTGTGTGTTTCAAGTATACAACAAACCCTGTGATTCCTACCCACTTCCTGCCTGCTAAAATTCTCAGGGCTCTTGGAGGAACGTGGGTGGAAAGCAGACTCAGCAAAAGACATAATCTCACCTCTTTCCTTTCTTGTAAAATGTGGCAAAGTATATGACCTCGGTTAGCCCCAATTTCCTTTTACTGCAGAGGGTTATAATAAGGATTCAATGAAATAATGTGCCTGGCTCCTCACTGAATAATACCTACTGATATTAATGTTGATTTAAAAATGATCCTCATCTAGAATCAATCTCTCTGACAGCAATATACGTGATGAAGAAACGAATCTTACATATGCCTCCAGATAGTGTCACCAAAAGAACTGGTTGAAAGCACAATGATATTGGCCAAGTCTGGAGACTTTGAAATGAATAATCAGTATTAGGGTAGATGAGTTTTAGGCAAAATGGTGAACTTGTCTGACTCCTGATTCCTTCCCAGGGAAACCCTGAAGATGTTCCAGAAGTAAGAGAAGACTGTGCTTTAAGGACAATCTGAGCCTGCAAGACTTGGCCTGGGGAGGATCACAGGGCTATAGAGGAGGGTTTTGGTAGAAGGAAGGCCAAGGAAGAGCTTTGGAGTTGTGCTCTTTTGTCCTCTACCAGACATTTTCTTAGTCCACTCCCAGTCCAGTGATTCAGGTGGTGCAACTTGTGAGTAAAGCCAAGTCTGGCTGAGGGGAAGAGTTGTGAACAGAAGGTTTGCATGGACTAATGGAGCCTGAGGCTTCTTTCCTCCTCTCCCCACATTGAAGTGTAACAGCTTTAGTCAAGAGAAAGGGAATTAGAAAGTACTAGACCAGTAGGGAATGGAGAGAAATCTTCACTGGAAGGGAAGAAGCAGCCTAGCTCAGACTGCTGATACGGGCCCTCTGCCTGGTGGAGCTGTGCAGCTCCTTCCTCAAAACAGTTCAGCAAGCATGGCAGACACCCTGAGGAAATGTGAACTTGCAGGTCCCAAATATATCAACTGAGCTGTCCATTCAAAGACAGTTCACGGGGCTGATTGGTGAAGGACTTATACGTGATATCCTCAGAGATGAGACAATACTGGGAACAAGCAGTTCTGGAAGAGGAAAGAGGAAATTCAGGGTGGGAAATAGACAAGTTACAGTAAAGAACTCAAGGGATAGGATAACAGTCAAAGTCGATATAGCCCAGAAAAGAAAACAGGCAGGTGGCAGCTGAGAGTGAGAAACTCCCTGGGGATTGGCAGAAGGAAGGAAAGCATGGGGAATGGAAAACAATTGCTAAGAGATGTAGAAACCAGAAGCAGATGTGTCCAGGCCCATGCAACAGGAGCTCGGGATAGTAAGAAGGAAATCTTCACAGAAGTATCTGTGATTCCCCTAGGATTAAAGATGAAAAAATCTCAGAAATAAAATGGCTGTTGGCATGTTGAACAGGGAATCTGGAAAGATGACAGCATAGAGAATATGCTTTCCTTGTCCATTTACTCAAAGTAAACTATAGCCAAACAGCCAAATCCCCAAAACATAGCTGGATGACTGCAGCATGTGTCAGGAGCAACAGTCCTGTAGCTATAAGTAAAAACCTGTAACTGAACTATGTTTGCAATGGTACTGGGGCATCACCACCCATAGGAGAGGAGGGTGACTGTCAAATGGAGCAGGCACCCAAGGGTACTAGGGTAAAAATCCTCTGTAGTGATGGTGGTAGGGAGGAAATTTTAAAAAGAAATATGGACAGATTTTTTATTTAACTACCATGCCATTATCACACACTTAAAAATTAGAAGCAGGGCCCTCCCTGGTGGCACAACGGGTTATAGCACAACACTATGAAGTTATCTAAAGCCACTGTAGCATGAGTTCAATCTCCGGCCAGGAAGGTGACCCACATGGTGTGGCAGATCTCTCTTGACCTGCCCACTGCTCCCCTCAGCAGTATATTTCAGTCAATCTGTCTGTTTTGTTCCCCACTCTGTCTCTAGTGAATCCTCTCACTCCCTGCATCTCTGGCCGGTACCCCAGTTCTTATTTGCATAAATGAATATAAACAAATAAAATCTTTAAAAAAATTAAAAGCAATTTCTTGGATGTAACAATGTAACATCTATCCATATTTAAATATTCAAATTTCCCCAAGTGTCAAAAAAAAAAAATGTCAGACAATTTAGGCACACACCTGACATGTAGTATTTGATGGTATCCGATTTCTCTACAAATAGAGAATTGCAATAACAAATAGATAAAATCAATTACAAAGGAACAATACCCAGATTAACTTTAAACTTCAAAATTGACACTGAGGCAAAAGGTTATGGGAGTGATATTTTGTAAGCATTTCAGGAAAAGAACTTTAAACTTAGAATTTTGTATGCAGCTATACTTACCTAAAACTGAGGGCACAGTACACTTTTAAGTCTGTTCGACTTACTGCAAAACAGAATGAATTCAGTGGTACTGTAAAAGGGTATCATGATCAAGTGTGATTTATTCCAGGGATGCAAGGATAGCTAAGCATCTACAAACTGTCAATGTGAATACCACATTAAGAATAAAAATCATCTCAACAATCATCTCCTTAGAAGTAGGAAAAGAATTTGATAAAATTCAACATTCATTTATGACAAAAACTCAAAGTAGGATAAAGGAAACATTAATAAAGTTATAAAGGCCATATATGCCAAGACCACGGATAACATCATATTTAACAGTGGAAAACCTTCAGCTTTTCTCTAAAATCAAGACCAAACAAGGGTGCTTACTTGGGTTGCTTTTGTTAAACTTACTACTTGAAATCCTTGTCATAGCATTATGTAAGAAAAAGAAATAAAAGATGTGAAAATTGGAAAAAAGGTGAAACTGTAATCATACACATTGATATATATCTGTAAAAACAAACTCCACAGAAACAAACTCGACCCAAAAAAGCCTGTTAGCACTAATAGACAAATTCAGCAAAAGATGCAAAAATCAATATGCAAAATTTGTTGCACTTCTGTATGTTAATGAAATACTGGGAAAGTAAGTTAAAACAATCCCATTTATAACTGCATTAACAAAAATAAGATTCCTTAATTGCAACTCAGGAGGCTAAAAGACATGTATGCTGAAAACTTTATGGAACTGATGACAAAAATGGAAAATATAGATAAATGGAAAATACTACATGTAATACAGATTGGAAGAATTCATACTGATATAATATCCACAGTACCCAAAACAATCTGTAGACTTAATGCTATCCCTAGCAAAATGCCAAAGGCATTTTTCACAGAAGTAAAACAAATAACCCAAAAATTTATGTAAAGCCCCAAGAGACCCACAATAACCAAAGCAATCTTGAGAAAGAAGAAAAAGCATCATGTGGTCTGAGTACTAAGTATATTACAAAGCTATAGTAATCAAATCACTATAGTTTTGGGATTAAAACAGGCACATAGATTGATGGGATGGGAGGGAAAGCCCAGAAATAAACTTACATTGATACGGTCAATTAATTATGACAAAGAAGCTAAGAATATACAATGGAGAAAGGATACTCTCTTCAATAAATGGTGTTGGAGAAACAGGATAGATTTGGTAGCCCAATCTCAACCCTAACACTGAACTCAGAGTACTGATACCAACTAACCTCCTTATTGACCAGGTACGAGCAACATGAAAACCAGAACAGTTGAGGCAGGCTGGACATTATGACATTCTGGTGCCTTCAGGACCTGGCTCAAGTTCCCTCAGGAGAAAGCTCTGGAAGCCATGCTGAACTAGCTTGTCAGTCTAGGTTCCTAGGAGCCAAGGGAAGTTCAAAACAGTTAACAGGAGTCAAAGATTCAGGCAATGAACATATGTCTGGAAAACTGTTAAAAGCAGATTGTCAGTCACATAGTAAAAGGGAAAGAAAGAACTCTCAGACAGGGTGACTATCCTCAGAGTACTAAGTTGGCTTGTTTTAGAAAGATGGTGCAATCTGGTGGCACATGGGGCCTGCTTTCTTTAGAAAAATGGGAGCTCTTGTACTAAATGGCCATGGCCTCTGAGTAACAGGTGACCAGAGGTGAGCAATCAGTGCCCCTTGAGATATACCAAGGATGCTCCTTTGCCACAGACCCCATGGCTCCCTTAATGCCACCTTGTGGTTATTTCCATAATTTACCTTCCTGGCAGTTCAGTTTGTGACTTCCCTTTCAGTAACTTTTTTTTTTTTTAATGTCTTTTTATCTTTGTGAAACTCTAACACTATGGTTCCTATTGGAAAGTTTGTGGAATATAGATCAAATGTACTAAACTAGACTAGATTTGGGGTACTTAGATTTCAATATTTAGTAAATTACTGCTAACTTCAAAGAAATTATTTAAAAAATGGATAAAGACAAAGCTGAGAATGTCTGCGTTCTCGTGCTGACCAACTGATAGATTTTCACTGGTCATTTCACTGTTCATTTATTTCAACTGAGCTAAAATGGAACTCAGTGTAAAGGAATAACTGATTTTTTTTTGTTAAATAGTGGGATCAGTGGAGGCTTAGCTTTTTAAGGGTAGCAAGGCATATTCAGGCCAGTGGGGTCAAGGAACTGTTTTCTGTCCTATATCATATAATATGCTATTTACAGCTGACTAAAAGAGTCTCCAGTCTCCATCAACATTAATTACTTTAAGTGAATTAGGAGCTGACGTCATGTGGTAATTAGCTCTTTGCTAAAAATCAACCTACAGCAGGACCTATTAATTCTAAAGCAGAATTCCTTTATAAAATTACTAAACATAATTCTGTTAACTGAGAGTAAACATAGGTCCAAGGAGCAGCCAGCTGTGAATGTGAAAATTCCCCTTTTAAAATACTTGACATGACTTGTAACATAAGATTTTCAGAGGCAATAGTTTATGTATTTGAAAAATGGGCAAAAGAATTTAAATAGATAATTGACAAAAGACGATATCCAAATGGCCAAAAACATATGAAAAAAGAGCCGTAATCATTACCCAACAGGGAAACACTAATTAAAACAGCAATGAGGTTCCTCTTTATATGTGTTAGGCAGGATAGCTGGACTGGAATTCCCTAACATTTCAGGAAGAGCAGCAATTAATATAAACACTTTGAAAACCTGACAGTATTCACTCAAATTAAACATACATTCTCTCCAGTGACCCAGAAATTCTAATCCTAGGTATACATCCAAGAGAAATGAATGCATATGTTCACCAAAAGACATGAAAAGGAATGTGTCCAGTAGCTTTATTCAAAGTGGCCCACACTGGAAATCACCAAATGGCCAACAACTGTAGAATAAACAAACAGAAGATGTGGAATATTACACACCAATGGAAACAACCACGAGGGTAAACCTCAAAGACATGCTGCTGAACGAAGAAGTCAGACATGAAAGAGTCTGTACTACATGAGTCCATTTATTTGAAGTTCAAAATGGTGAAACTAGTCAATGTAAAAGAAATAGGGATGGAGGAGGGAGAAGAGGATTGGGAGGAAAACAAGGGAACTTTCTGGGACACTGGAATTGTGCTATCTTTACTTGGGTCATAGTTACATAGCTGTGCATAGTACAGATGAGCTGTACATAAGACAGATGAGCCGTACACTTAACAAGCATACAGTTTTTGTAAATAATAGCTGAATGGGAAAGTAAAAACAGTAAAATTTTAAATGTAAGCTCAGCTGATCATTACTAACTGGAGAGAATCTGGCTTCTGTCCTTTCCTAGCCTACCTCCTTTCTTGACACCAGAGTTCTAACTGCCTAGCCTGCTGGTAGCCCAGAGGCCAATTTCAGGACACTAGATTCTCTTAAGCTTTAGGATCCCATTGTACAGATGAGAATACATAATCAGTGAGGTAAGGCAACGTATGCAAGGACACGTGACTGCTAAGTGGAAGAAGTGACCTGAACATAGGTCACTGGTGACAGAGTTAAGTGCCTTAACCCTCACTCTAATGCCTTTTCCCACAAGAAACCAACAAATGTTTGTTGAATGAATGAAAGAAGGACTTAATCATAAACACATCCTTACCTCTTTGGCTTCATCTTGTGCTTTCATGTTTTCAGCAATATACTTGACACTCTGGATAGCTTCTTTGATTTCTGGTGACAAAGCAGAGAGGGACAGCACAGCAGCATCCACAGATTCTGAACTGGAACTTCTTGTGAGATTGGCACTGAAATTTGAGATTTTTATTCTGCGGTGGTGGCAGTAGCCACACATCCCATCCTGGCATGGATAGCCTGCCTTGCAGGCTTTGGTCTCTGTGCGGCTGAAGCAATTCAGATTGGAGAGCTCAGAGCTGTAGAGGGGTCTCGGCTTCTGAGTGCAGCCCTCGTTATTGGCTGGCCTGGTCATGAACATAACCCTGGGAAGCAAGCTCAAGAACACTGTCTTCACCCACATGGGCATCGTGTGTGTGGTCGGGGTTCGGTAGTGCACGTTGAGCACAAAGACAGTGATGACTATGGACAAGGTTACAAAAATCATGGTGAATAGGAGGTACTCACCGATTAGGGGAATCACGAACGAGGTGGACGGGATGGTCTCAGTGATCACCAGGAGGAACACAGTCAGGGAGAGGAGAACCGAGATGCAGAGGGTCACTTTCTCACCACAGTCTGAGGGCAGGTAGAAAACCAGCACAGTCAAGAAGGAGATGAGCAGGCAGGGGATGATGAGGTTGATGGTGTAGAACAAGGGCAGACGCCGGATGTACAGCGAGTATGTGATGTCGGTGTAGATCTCCTCACAGCAGTTGTATTTGATATCGTGTTTGTAGCCAGGGGCTTTGATGATGGCCCACTCACCACTCTCCCAGTAATCCTTGAGGTTCATGGAGGAGCCTATCAAGACCAGATCAATTTTTGCCTTGTCATAGGACCAGGAGCCAAACTTCATGGTGCAGTTTTGATAGTCAAATGGGAAATAAGTCACATCGATTTTGCATGAGCTCTTAAAAATGGCTGGAGGAATCCAAGTCACTTCCCCTGTGTACTTGAGTAAAGCTTTGGTCTTGTCATCCACCTGGAAGTCTCCAACTGCACTGTGAAGACAAGAGGAGGTGTGACAACACACGGTCATCACCACACAGTCATCCTGTCCAGCTTCTCAAGTCACAGGCAGGAAGTGCCAACTCATGACTGTCAAACTGCAGAATATGAGCTCAAAATGCCATAAAGCTCACCCAGTTCATCACCCCATTTCCAGTGAAAAGTGAGGCCTAGGACCTCCTTCTCATCAATCAGACATACACATCACCCCCACATTCCACCACATATTACCGATTTGTTCTAATACACTCAATATTTATTGAGTCCTTCCAAATGTCAGGAGGAGTGTTTTATCCTCTTTAAAAAAATGTGAGAAACTGGCCATCCCCAGTGGTGCAATGGGTTAAAGCACAGCACTGTGAAGCTCACGCAGCCTCCTCAGTGTGAGTTCAATCCCCAGTCAGGGAGGTGACCCACCTGCTGCTCCCCTCAGCAGTGTACTTTGTCAATCTGCCTGATCTGCTCCCTACTCTGTCTCTGATGAATCCTCTCACCACCCCTGTACCACGGGCCTGTATCCCAGCTCTGTACGCATAAATAAATCTTTTAAAAAATGTGAGAAACTGATGAAAGTTGTCATCATGGAGTCAGGTTTTAGGGGAACTTTGGCAATATTGCCACTTGCTGTACCAATGCTTTGGCCTTCTAAGGCCTCGTCATCTTGTCTCCACTGGGAGGCCAATGTGTATGAAGCCAGACCATGGAGTAATCAGGGTGTGGAAATCACTCTGGGCCTGCATGCCCAAGAAACTGAACCCTGTTAGGTGGGTTATTGGCAGGCCTGATGTCTGGGTCCTGTTCTGCCCTTTGCCACTCTCCCCATTACTCCCAGCACTATTCTAGAATGAATAACCGTGTTTTCTGATTCCTTATGTTTCAAATCCAGCATAACAGGTTCCTTTGCCTTCTGTTTCCCTCTTTCCCTACAGCACCCCAGGTTTCTTTCCCCTTCCTTTTTGGCTAGATGCAATTTGACTTTTAAAATAAAGATATGTACTTTTTTTCTTAGAAACATCTTATTGGGATTTATAAATTGATCTGCTCAACAGAAGATTGCTGATGACCAACTCAGTATGTTGTTGACTCTTACATCTGGGAGTGAGGCTGCCAGCACACAACAGTGGTCTTGCCCGGAGAAGTCCCTGTCATTATTAGGCTGGGGGGACTGCATCCTCAGTGGGGATGCCTCAGAGGGGAACAGTGAATCAAAGCAGACTCCACAGCTTCTAATTTGTGGGGATACGTCGAATGACAGCAGAGAAGTCCATCAGGGCTTTGTGGGTGCCGAAGGACCTCAGAAATACCTTTCTGAACTCCCAGAATAACTTGGAACAGAAAGGGAAAGGAGGCTGGTGGGGCTGAGAAGAGACGAGAAGAGATGGTGTGTGTGGCTGCATGGAGGGGCAGCCATGTAGCCACGTGTTCCGAGTTCACTATATGAGCAGGAATTCAAACAGGTGAGGCAAGAGAACTGCCTTTACTCCCAGCCCTTCTGGGAACTTGTACTAATATTTCAGCAAATTTTCAACAAATTTCAAAATACAACCTCTATAAGCAAGAACAACAGAAAGGATTGAATTGAACACCATGCAAACAAATTTTTAAAAAAATATAAAAACAACTGAATAACACACAAGCAGATCATTGTATACCACAAAATGCAGCCACAGAGCAAGCTGAAAATCTGATGTTTGAGCTGAAAGTGAGCTGAAAGAAACTAATGAAATCTTTAGGAACTGTGGAAGGTTGGCAGCTGCAGAATGACCTGAGGAATGAACTCATGAACGAAGACCTGAGGAAAACCTGAGGAAGGCCGCTGCCAGTGCGCTGATGAGGCACCACAGTCGACGCTACAGTGCCTGACATCTTACTTGTTGTAGAGCACAATGTCTGGCTTCCAGATCTTCTGCGCAGGAACACGCATGAACTCAGCCCCATCGTAGTCAGAAGGGTTCCACTTCAGCTTGTAGTCGTTCCAGATCTAGGGGGAGGAGGCGGCAAAAGGACCTGACCTTAACTTCTGCTGCTACAACCCACCGTGGTCACTCCCTCACCTTGCTGCTTTTACTGAGCTGCACCCCTCATCTCGTTTCCCATGTGGATGCCAGTCGGGGAGCTGGCTCTGACCAAGTGTGGAGGTACCTCCTGGCTCCATGACGGCTGGCCAGTCCAGTCCTCAGTCAAACAAGGGCCATTATGCTATCCCTGTTCCGTCTAGAGCCAGGGTCAGTACTGTGCCTCACACTTGCTGCTCACCCCCTGAAATGGCTCTCCAGGCCCTTTCTCATGACATGCTTCTCACCAAGGCAGGATGCTGATCACACACAGAGCCCTCCTCCAGATGAAGGGCTGAAGTGTTCTGGGGATGACACCATCACCCCATGGGGAGGAAGGCTGCATGAGCCGATCGGTGGGGTCACTGTTAGGCTGCTGAGATAATTGTCTAGATCTGGACAAAGCCTCCCTGAGGAAGACATATGGAGGCTGACTTCTTTGGCCTCAATCTGAACAGAAAAATCCAGAACCCTTGCTTCTACCTTACCAACATGGACAACAGATGATCTGAGCTTAAAGTTGAATCTTCGGCACCACCCTAGAACCAGGGGCCAGGCTTGGAAACAACAGATGATCTGAGCTTAAAGCTGAATTCAGGCACAGTTAGGCCCCCTTTGTTGTATAACTGTGGAGAAGGTCTCTGTCTCTAGGCTTCAGTCTTTCCAGGAGACCAGAGAATGGTGCACGTGAACCCAAATTCAGCAAGAGACAGGCCAGCCAACAATGGACACCAATCTTGAACTGAACTAGTGAAGTTAAGGCCTTTCTTAGGTCAGGGACAGCAAATTAACTAGTGACCGGCAGGGGGCAGCAATGTGCAGAACCTGCCCACTTACTTGCTTGAGCCACAAGTTCGTCTCCATGATCTGGTTTACTTCATCCTGGAAAGAAACATTAAAACAGTCTCATAAATTACAAAACAAGGTTGGTTCTGGGAAAGGCTGTTCTGAAAATCTCATATCCCAGGGCTGTGGCTGTGGCTTTGGCTCTTACCACCTTCACCAGTTGAGACATGGATACTTCAAACTGGATGATGACAGGATCAGACACATTGGCCACAGGTCGGATGATCTCGTTGTAACCTTCAAACAGCCGCTCAAACAGACGGTGCTCAGCGTCTGAGGCACTGGCCACTGAGGAAACAGCCCTGTCATAAACTGTTTTCCCCACGTCAGGGACCCATCACCTCCCTTCTGTTCATTAGGTGGACTCTTTAGAACTCCAGCCTTTCAGATTAATCTTACCCCTCCAGTTTACAGGCTGAAACTGAGGCCCAAGAGAGACAGAGTTTCCCCCACGCCACACACATTCAGTTACAAGCCTAGACTTTGCACTGGGGTAGATCTCGTGCAGATCCTGACAAAGTACTTGTGAACAGTGTGAACTTTAAGCAAATGGCTTAACTGCTCTGCACCTCCTGTTTTTATCTGTAAATGTAACGTTTACAAATGGACCCACCTCACAGGGTTATGAGTGAAGTGCTCTGCTGTGTGCTGGCAGAGTGTAGTCTCACCTTCCTGGATAGACTGGGCAGGGTGGTGTGGCTGGCCTCTGTCACCTGTACTCCCAGGGCCACCCAAGGCCATCCTGGGTCAGGTGTCCTGGCTTCTAGCTTGTAGGAGACACAGCCCACGACTGGGACATCCCTTCATCCCACCAGGGGCCGTGTAGGGGTGTGGTCACCAATCCCTACCAAGTCAGATTCCACATCTGAGAGTGTGACCCCTAGTTTCCGCTGAAACTGTCTTCACATCTTAGCAAAAGGGCTTAATTCTCAAAACCCTCTGTTCACAAGCCACACTCTCCGCCCCACCCAACCCCTCATTCATCCGGAGTCAACTACAGCTCAAGGCACCATCTGGGGAGGGAATGAGAGGACTCCCTGGCAAAGCAGCCCAACTTCGCAAGGCACTGAAATGAGATCTTGCCTCTCCCTCTCCCACTTGAATGCAGGAGCGCGGGAGAGGAGCTCCGTGGTAGTTAGTGCAAGGCAGCTGTGCAGTCAGGTCTCAGCACAAAGGGCCAGAGAAGTCGCTCCGAGCGCTGAGCTATGCCTTTGTCCAACAGCTGCAGGACCAGCAACCTGGACAAATCCCACCGAGTCCCTGGGCATCTACTAGGCCTCCCAGGGTCAACCTACTTCCCCGTCCCCCGCCCCCCGCCACCCAAGAGCTTCTGGCGGAGGCTCTTTCTCCTGACTCGCTCTTAGAGACCTGGCTGACTTTGGGAGGCGCGATAGACGGTCAGGGGCTCCAGAGACAAAGAGGGCGCGGAAACCCGGAGGATAGGCTGGGGCTTTTGCCTCCAGTTCGTGGGGACTCTGGTCCACCCTAGAGGGCCTTCGACAAGTCTTGAAGCATATCTTGCCTCAATTTTCCCACCTACTGGTAAACAAGGAAGTGGGCGGGGGTGTGTGTGTGTGTGCAGACGTCGGGGACCGCAATTCTGGCTACTACCAGGTCCGTGACTCGAACCTGTCATTCCATGATCCCGGAGGGCTGGTCTCCAGCCCGCATGTACCACCCACCCCGCGAAAGTCCCAGTCCACACAGACCTGACTCTGGGTAAGTTCACAGGGAAACTCTCAGGTGAGCCGGAAGCATCCCTCGCCTCACTCGCCGCGGGGAAAGAGCGGGCCCACACCTGACCGAATCCTCGGGACCCCTCCTCCTCCTCTCTGCGCTCCCAGCCACTGCCCCTTCAGGTCCCCAGTCTACACTCCGGCCGCCCGATCTTCGCCCCCCATTTCCTGCCCCCCACTCCTACCCGGCAGCAGCAGCAGCAGCGGCAGCAGCGGCGGCGGAGGGAGCCTCGCCCGGAGGACTGGGGACCCGCGGGTGCCCATGGCTGTGGGCGCGCGGACCAGAGACCCCGGGCGGGCGCGGCAGGTGTAGCGGACCGAAAGGTAGCGAGCAGTTGCGGTCGCAGCTGAAACACACAACCCGCCAGCTCTCCGCGCCACCGCCCTCCAGCAGCCGGACAGAGGGCGCGGCGTGTGGCCGGCTCCTCCTGGTTCTCTCCGCTCCTCCCCGGTCCCGCCTCCGCCCACCCCCTTCTAGCCCCGCTCACTCAGTCCTCCCCTCCTGTTGTGCGGCGCCCGCGGGTTCGCCAGAGGGGCGTCCCTACAAGGTGGAAGCTGAGCGCGCGAGGCCCTGGGTCCCCCGGCTCAGCTTTCCCTGGGTTCGTAGCGGCACGCGGCCGGGCGCCTGCGGGGCCAGCGGGCATTGCCCGCGGGGAAAAGAGTGGGGCACCCTCCGCTCCCTTCCCCTGGCTGCTGGGAATGGCGGCCTGCTGGGGCTTGGAGGCTTTTAGGGAGCCGGTCTCGCAGAGAGGCTCAAACATGACCACAAAATATGACTTCGAGTTTTGTTAAGTATTATTTAAATATTTAAAATATTTTTGGATGTATGTGTACACACACACACACACACGCATTTATATCTTTCTTCATTTTGTACATTTTTTCACCTCGGTTGTGCCATCACCACAGTCCTAAGCGCTCTTCCTGCACCAGTTTTGATGATGTTCGCCTCTCCTCCCCTGTAGAATGTCTCTATTGTTTGTTGATTTTTGTTTTTATTTTATTACAATCGCTTGAAATAAGACAAAAAGGAAAAGGGAAATACTGCTGGTTTCACTCAGCAGGAGTGTAAGGGGTCAGGAAGAAAAAAAAGCAATTAAATACTTTAAACCCACCTAATTTTAACTATTTAAATAATGTATCTAAGTCGATGTTAAATGACTGTTAAATATTCTAGGTATGATCATGTTTTTGTGTTTTCAGGGATCGCCTTAGAAATAATGTTTTTAGTGAGACCAGGGTATAGAGCCATAGACAAGGTACTTACTCTTCCCTTTCCTGAACCTCCTTTGCCCCCACCATCTACACCCCAGTTCATGCAGTGACCAGGCGGGCCCTGGGACACCCTTAGTTTCTATGGGGTGCAGTGGGGCCACCTCACAGACTTTCTTGGGTCTCTTTATCACAGGTGAGTCACCTTTATTAGTTCCAGAATGGGCCTCCTCTTCCCATTAAATGTCTCCAACAGAAGGATCATTTTGTGGAACCCTGAAAATTTAAGAATTAGGGCTAATCTCTCAGGGCCCCGTTATTTTATCTTTGTTTTTAAACATCCTTGTTTATTTTTTTCACAGTGTAGGATTTCTCCTCTTGGATGCAGTCACCATAGTTTTCCCACCACCAAAGTGTACAGTCTTCCCATCACTCTCTGCCAGTCTTTCCTTCCCTCCCCACCCTCCACCCCTGTTTTCTTCTCTGCACCCTTTCTCCTCCCTCCCTCCAATGGGTCAGTGTTTTAGATCTACAGTCTGTTTTCAAGAGTCAGTCTTAAGATTTTATCTTTGTCTGACCCTTTGTTAGATTTCTGTAGATTCCACATATATAAGTAAAACCATACAGTATCTATCTTTGTACTTCTGGCTCACTTCGTTTAGAATAATCCCGTACAGCTCCATTTATGTTGCCACAAATGGCATGAGTTTCTTTTGTGATCACTGAGTGGCATTCCATTGTGTATGTATTGTATCTTCATGATTCACTCACCTGTTCTGGGGCTTTAGGTGGTGTCTATATATTGGCTGTTGTAACTAAAGCCACTAACTTTCTTTCAAATTTGGATTCTTGTGTTCTTTGGATGGATACCTAGGAGTAAAATTTCTGAGTCATATGGTAAATCTAATTTTAGTCTCTTGAGGCACCTCCACACAACATTCCATGGGGCTGGATATTCCCACCATCAGTATATAGGTCCTTTTTTCTCCAGCATTTGTGTGTGTGTGTGTTTACCATTTTCACAGGTGTGAGGTGGTATCTCATTGTAGTTTTGATTTGCATTTCCCTGATGATAAGTGACAATGAACATTTTTCATGTGTCTGGTGGCCACCTGTGTGTCTTCTTTGGAGAAGTGGCCATTTTTAGTTTGGGTTGTTTGCTTTTTGTTGAGTTGTATACACTTTGTAGATCTTCAATATCAGTCCCTTGTCAAATATAAGGTGTGCAAATATTTTCTCCCAATCGGTAGGGTCTCACTATGTTTTGGCCACTATCTCTTTCATTGTACAGAATCTTTTTATTCTGATATAGTCCCAGTTGTTTATTTTCTCATTTGTTTTCCTTGCTGATGGAGATGAGTCCACAAAAGTGTTTCTGAGGTTTATGTAATGGAGTGTTTTGCTTATGATTTCTTCTATATGCTTTATGGTTTTAGGTCTTACATCCAAGTCTTTTGTTCATTTTGAGTTTATTTTTGTGTATGGTATGGGATAATGGTCTAGTTTCATTATTTTGTATGTGGTAGTCCAATTTTCCTAGCACCACAAATTAAAGAGGCTTTCCTTATTCCAATGTATCTTTTTTGCTCCTTTGTTAAAAATTAGGTGTTCATAAATGTGTGGTTTTATCTCAGGACTCACAACTCTATTTCACTGGCCTGTGTCTGTTATCATTTCAGGGCCATGCTATTTTGATTATTATGGCTTTCTAATATAGTTTGAAGTCTGGAAGTATGATACTTTCATTGCTTCAGGATAGTTTTGACTATTTAGGGTTTTTTTTTTTTGTGGTTCCATATGAATTTCAGTAAGCTCCTTCTTTGAATAATGCCACTGAGATTTTTATTGGGATAGCAATGAGTCTATAAATTGTTTTGGGTAAGCATTCTAATTCTCTTGGTAAAGAGTTCTTATTGGAAAAATATTGGAAATCTCTTATACACAACAGAAGAAATATTTCACATCATGAGTCATCAGAGAAAATCAAATGAAAACCGGGATGATATATTATTTTACCTCCACTGGAATGGCTAAAATAAAAGTGCTATTAATCCCAAGTGCAGACACGGAGACAGACAGTTGCTGGTGGGAAGGCAAAGGATATGGCTACTGTAGAAAAGAGTTTAAGAGTTAAGAGTTTCACAGTCACCCCAGATAACCCAGCAACACATTCCTGATTACCTAGAGAAATGAAAAATTTGTTCCCACAAAATCTTATACATGGATATATATATAGCAGTTGCCAGAAATTGGTGGCAACTTAAATGTCCTTTAACATCCACATGATAGAATACTGTGTTGGAAGGCAAAGAACAAACTGTCAGTATCCACAATGACTTGGGTGGGTCTCAATATGATTCCATTTAACAGCATTCTTGAAAATATGGGGAAAAAAATCAGGAGTTACTGAGGGAGAGATATGACCATAAATGGGTAGCAGGAGGGATTTGTTTTGGGTGATGGTTCTGTCTCACATCCTGATTACATGAATCTGTGCATGTATTAAAATTCAATGGACAATACATCAAAAGTCGATTTTATTGTATAATAATTTTTAAAATAGAATTCCTTCACTTCACAAATATTTTGATGACTATTCCTTGTTGGGCATGTGCACAGGTAGTATGTGAGGGCCCACCCAGGAGGAAGCATTTGTGACACAGAACTGTGGGGGAACCCAGCTGTGACACAGAACTGTGATAGGGCTGTGGAGAGTGGCCATTCCCTTCCAGGTGGAAACAAGGATGACTGTTTAGAGCAATTCAAAGGAGGAATAAAAGCCATCATTCATTCATTCAGCCAGCATTTATTGAGCACCTATTATGTGCCAAGCCCTGTGCAGAAACCAAGGCTACTGCAGAGAAGATGAAGACCTAGGTCCCTGCTCTCACAGAGGGTCCCACTAGTAGGGAGATGTGGACAGTAAATATGCCACTAAGGCAAGGAGCAGTTCGGGGAAGGGACTGTGGGGAGAATGCTTTAGAATGGGTGAGTGGGAAGGCCTCTCAGAGGAGGTAACATTGGAACAAAGGACGATGGGAACGGCACCTGAGTGATGCAGCCATAAAAGCTTGGGAGGCGCTATGATGGAAGGCTTGGGTAGAAGGTAGAGCGGATGCCGAGTTCTCAGCTGGGAAGGACCTTGAAGTATACAAAGGGCTGACAAAAGGCCAGTGGACAAGGGATGGGGGGAGGTGGATGAAAGGCTGACACCACATACACAGCAGCATGCCAGTGCCTGTTGCCAGCGCCAGCTGCAAGGAAAAAGGCCAGGATGAGACTGTCTGAAGCTCTGGTGCTGGAGTTTCCTGGGGCTCCTCCAGGGATTTTCCAGAAGCCAGCTGAGGTCCCCGGTGTTTGTTCCTTCCCCTTGTGATGGGATTGGCAGTTGCTGTCTCATTCACCTAGAACTTTGTTGACTATGAGCCAGAGGAAGCAGCAAACTACCCAACTGGCCATTCACATCATCTCACCTTGTATCCTGGGGACCACAGGACATGCAGGGCAGCCTAGGGCCCCGCAGGAGGTGTGTGGGTCTGGAAGAGGGGGGGCAGGAAGAGCCCCACAGTGCCGAGCACACACACTACCACGAATACCCACAGGAACAGCCGGTCAACCACCAGGGCCACGTATTTCCAGTCTTCAACAACCTGTGGGCAGACAGAGGGGCTGGTTATGGGGGCGAGGGGCCACTTGGGACTTTGATGTTTCCCTGCATCCCCTAAGCTTGGCCCTCATTATCTGGCTAGGGACCCCACCAACCACTAAGGACTTGGGAGGGGTGAGTTCTGAACACTGGGATCGTCATGGGTGGCACCTCTGTGCCCTCAATCCACCCTGCCCTGCTCCCGCAAGGCAAGGCAGAGCCAGAGGGCTCAAGCGCCAGGAAAGAGCTCTACATATTGTCATCTGAAGTCACACCTGATCATTAATACAGGGATGAAACTTGAGCATCACCGGCCCCCTTCTCTCACTTTCACCCCAAGTTCTTCTGGCTCCCCAGAAGGAGTTTGAGGCCCACAGAACTAAATGGGGCAGGAGGTGGGCCTATGGGATCTCTGCAAATCCTGCTGTTTGCTCAACACTGTGCAATTCAGCCCTGCAGTGTGGACCTCCTGGTGCACCATGTGGGTTTTCCCTCAGTTTCCTCAGAGCCAGTAGTGACAGGCCCTCCTGCTTCCTTTACTAACGAGACCTAGCATCCAGGTCGCTTCTCCCTGGCTGGTCCAGGACCCTTGGTGCACTTCTCTGGCAGGGTCTGAGGGAGTCAGCAGAGGCTCTGGAGTTGGGTGTTCAGCAGCAATGATGTCAGGGCCTATCACTGGTGGGCACCTACCCTGCATCACCACCCTGTATGTGCTGCTGGAAGGTCCTGGGGTGCAGGAGACACTATACTACTCTCTACAGTGGTTTCCTTGGAACTCTTTTTTTTTTTTTTTGAAGATTTATTTATTTATGCATATAGAACTGGGGTACAGGCCAGAGGTGCAGGAGTGGTGAGAGGATTCAGCAGAACAGACCAACTGATGAAGTACACTGCTGAGGGAGCAACGGGCGGGTCAGGAGAGGTCTGCCGCGCCATGTGGGTCACCTCCTGCGTGGGCAGGGATCGAACTCACACTTAAGTGGCTTTAGCTTCTTAGTGCTGTGCTTTAACCTGCTGTGCCATCAGGGAGTGCCCTTGGGCTCGTTTTAATAGCCTCAATTTCAAGTGACTTTTTTTTTGGTTTGTGTAGGCACATGCCTTTTCTACCTTTTACATTTTTTGTGCTATTTATAGTGGCCAGTTAACCACCAGTGAAGATGAAAGTGCTAAAGAGAAAAACAGCCTGGGATGATTTAGGAGCAGGCAAGTGCTGGAAGGGGGGAAGATCTCCTTCCTATAGCTACACATGACAAAGGTGATCCACCAATAAGTCCACCATCTGCTGGTGCCAGGCATGGAAGGACAAGAAAGATTAGGGACCCCTGAAAGCTCTGGATATGGAGCTTGCTTTGTCCAGTGACAGCTGTGTGAGCCTGGGCATGTCAGTAAGCCTCTCTGAGCCTAGTATAAAATGGGGATTTGAGAAGACCCCACTTCAAGGTCCCTGCAAGGGTTAGCAGTAATGTAGGTCAGGTCCTGGGAGAGCCTGTTGGCGGACCATAATGAACACTGGTCATTATAATAATGGTGGGTCCTGACTGGCTCTTTCCCTCAAGGACCTTTTAATTAATTGAGTTTGAGATAGCAGGAGCCCGTAAGTTGAGTTCCAGGGGGATGGTGAGACTTCTAGAAGAAAGTTCAGGATGCCAGTTCCTCAGCCAGGGTGCAGGAGACCAGCTCTTCTCAACTGGAATCCAATTTATAAACCTTCCCCCTCATCACCTCCACCCAGACCCCATATCCTGGCTCATTCACAGTGGGTGGCCCACCCCAAAGCCGTGTTTTGAAAAGTTGCCCTAGTGGTTCTTATTTACCCAGCCAGGACCCAGACTACAGATTAACACTGGAGCTCAATGACTCCAGGGAGGCCAGCCTCTGACTGGCTTAAAGTAAAGAAGGCATCATCACGTTTATCATTTAGAGGGTGAAATCTGAGAGTCCAGTAGTGTTGTGCTTCTTGAACTGGAATGTGCACTGAATCTCCTAGAATGTGCTAAAAATGCAGAGCCCTAGGCTGGGGCAGGGCCTGAGTGCTGCATTTCTAGCCAGCTGCCAGGCCATGCATGTGGCTGGTTTGAGAGTACATTCTGAGGAGCTGGGTGTGGAAGAAGAGCTCACATCCTATGTTCCATTTGTGAACCATCCTTTCTTTCTTTTAAGAGCATAATTCTCACAATTTTCTAGCCTGCTCTTTTCTCTCACCGTTAACTAATTGAGACCACAACTGGTAAAGATGAATCACAGAAAGATAGGAACCAGGAGATGTTCTCTTGACTAAGAGCTACGAGGAGGTAAGAACCATTCAAAGAAGCTCTCCTCCACTGAAAGCGGTTAACATGACAGAACATTCACAGCTCTGAAGCCTGTTCTCCTCCCTAGTATGGAAATGTGTGTGAAAATCTCTTTTACATCACAAACTGTGTTCAGTAACTATCAAAGTGTGTTTTGAAGTGTTATTTGTTCAGGCATTTGAGACACCTGAGCCCTAACACATTGCTGTGTGCTGTGAAAATAAACCTAACTTCTTTTTAAAAATCTGTTATTGTAATCACCACACTTGAGAATTTATTACACTGATAACTATTATTTTAATGACTGCTTCCCTGCCTCTAAATTTATAAGTATTTGACAAGCCCCAACAAGATGGGGGTGCCTAGGATGGGTGCCAGCCCACCTGTAGAAGGCATTTCCACGCCCATAGCCTCTGCTTTCAGGGCACCTGCACACTCTTCTGCAGCTCCAGAAATCTCCTGGAATTTGGTGAAAATGTAGGGCCTTAGGCAGGGCTGGGGCAGAGCCTGGGTGTTGCATTTCTAGCCAGACCTTGTAGAACCTGGGAGGGCCAGGGGGTGAGTGCGGGCGGGGACCTTCAATCCCTGTGGGCTGAAATGATAAATACCAGCTCTGTGGTAAATACATAGTTTGTGATGTAAAAGAGATCTTCACACACATTTCCATACCAGGCAGAAGAATAAGTTTCAGAGCTGTGAATGTTCTCATTTTAACCCCTTCAAAGGAAGAGAGCTTCTTTGAATGGCTTTTATCTCATCATAGCTCCTAAGCAAGGGAACATCTTGCTGGCATTTATCATCCCAGTCCCAGAGGCTGATGCTGAGGTTTGTCCCTAGGTGTCCTCAGAGGGTGGCAGGGATGGAGCCCTGGCGCCCACGTGTACTCTGTTCATAAACACCCACACCACTTCCCTCCTCTTCCTGCTTCACATTCCCTGCTTCAATGTGTTCTTTTGAGAAGTGACCCGATGTCCTCATTTCAGGGCCTGCTTTGGGGGAGCCAGCGATAACCAACACAGACCACTCTTATCTCTTTCCTCCCTCCTCTGCACAAAGCTAAGACAAACCCCACCTTAGCAATGGATTTCTTATTTAGGCAAAGAGTTTGAAAGCTCTCATATCATTGTAATGAGCTGCAGGAAACAGGAAACTGTGCTACGGGGTCTCCGCCCCTGTGCTGGGTGGGGGCCAGGCTCAACTTACACTCTGGTCTTCATCTTCACTTTGCATGTGCTGGGCGATGAAGCTGACGCCTTCAAGAGCCTCCTGCATGTGCTGCTGGAACCTCCCTGAAGACCTCAGCCGCAAATCCCTGGCGATTCCCTCTGAATCGGAGCCCTGTGGAGACTTGGGGGTCGCAGAGGCTGGGTTCACGAAGTACATGGAATTCCCATAGAGGTGGGCAGAGCTGGCGGTTCCCACAGCTGAGCTGGGGGTGGCCTCAGACCCCACCAGGTGAGCCTGGAGGGGCAGGGGAGCCTTGGCAGCGCTGCTGTTGGGGCGCTTCATGAAGAGGAAGGTGGGCAGCTGCTGGAGGAAGCAGCGCTTGACCCAGGGCGCCATGGTGTGCGTGCTGGGTGAGCGGTGGTGCACGTTGAGCACGCACACACTCGTGATGATGGAGAAGGTGACGAGCACCATGGTGAACATGAGGTACTTGCCGATGAGCGGCACGTCCAGGGAGGTGGGCGGCACTATCTTGGAGATGAGCAGCAGGAAGACCGTGAGCGCCAGCAGCACGGAGATGCATAGCGTCATCTTCTCACCACAGTCGGATGGCAGGTAGAAGACCAGGATGGCCAAGGACGTGATGAGCACGCAGGGAATGATGAGGTTAATGGTGTAGAAGAGCGGCTTGCGGCGGATGATAAAGTCGTAGGTGATGTCCACGTAGCTGGGGTCATGTGGGTTCACAGTCCTCCGCCCTGGGAGGGCCACAATGTCCCATTCGCCACTGGGAGTAAAATCATCCATGCTGGCCATGGGTGACTTAAGCACCATGTCGATCTCTGTGTGGTCATAGGTCCAGGAGCGGAACTTGAGGGTGCAGTTCTGCTGGTCAAAGGGGAAGTGCTTCACCTCAATCTTGCAGGCACTCTTGTAGATGGCAGGGGGCAGCCATGCAATGCTGCCATTGGAGCGGACCACTACGTTGGCGTAGAAAGACACTTCATAGGTGCCGTCGGCGCTGGGATGGGTCAAGGCACGGAGCAAAAATCAGAAAATCCATGGACAAGACCTGGCCTGGTCACTGAACTCACAAAAGAATCCTCAGGATCAACTCTACGAATCACCTTGCCCATTCCTCACCCCCACCTCAAGCCCACACTGAACAGCCTTGTTTACTTGACAAATACATAGAGCCCTACCATGAGGCAGGCCAAGGACCTCGTGTGGTAGAGCTTATTTAAGCTTCAGAAGGGCACAGTGAGGTTTACTATTACCACCAATTTACGATGGAAAATCCAAGGCTCAGAGAAGTGAAGTGACTTTCAAGGGCAGAAAACTATTAGGCAATACAACTGAGATTTGAACTTGGGTCTTTCTGTCTCTAGACCACACACTTATCATTCATGCTTCTGCCTCTGTAACTACCATGGTCTTTTCCCTTCCATTTTATGCTGGTAAATCAATATTGCGACACTACAAAGCAACTTAGGGTCAGAAAAGCAGTGTGGAGGACAGAAAGCACTAGACTCGGGCCAGGATTTTGTCCCTGGTCCCAGCAGTACTGAATGAGTCACCAACTCTCCCCTCCACCCCCAACCCCTCCAGGGCCCTGATTCCCAGTCTGTGCTTTAGGGCTCTGGCTCAGCTGAATTCTAATTCCTTTTCTGGTCAGATGGCTCAAAGTGTGGGTGACACACAAGGCAGGCCCAGCACAGACTCAGGAATGGAGGGCCCCAAAGGCTGGGCCTGGGCTCTGGCTGAGCTCTTACCACCTTGGTCAACCCTGCTACATACTTGTTGTAAAGCACGATATCAGGTAGCCAGACGCGCTTTGCCGGGATCCTCAAGATGTTCACGCCCTCATAGCGGGAGCTGTTCCATGCCAGGCGGTAGTCGGTCCATTCCTGAGCAGACAGGCAATAGGGGACCTCTCTCCAGCAAGGGGCAGCCCTGGAGGAAACACCCTCCTGGGCTGGGGAATCTGCAGGGCACTTACCTGATTCAGCCAAACGTTGGTGGTCATGATCTGTTCTCGCTCATTCTAGAAGGGAAATGGGCTGTCAGTTCACCATGTTGGAGGAGCCTCACACACATGCTTGCTTTGTCACACAAATGCTCTGTGGGATTGACTGCAGACCAAACAACTCTTGGTGGTTCCACACTTCTGAGACAAAACTCATGATCCTCACCCAGAACTGTGCCCAACTTTGGGTGAGTTGTTCTTACCCAAAGTGAAAGCTCAAGTCTCTTTTCCTTCCCACTGTTACATTTGTCTCTTTGCTCTTGTTGGCCCACGCTGTTCCCTCTTCCCGGAAGCCTACACAGCAGGCTTCCTTACTTCATTCAGGCATTAGAAATATCACCATATCAGCCTTCCCTGACTCCCTACAGAAACTAGCTTTACTTTCCTTCATAGCTGTGGTCACTGCAGCACAGCATGTATTTGTGCCCCCTCCTACTAGAACCTGAGGTCCTGGAGGGAAGAGAACACCTAGAAGAGTATCTAAGATGTGTCAGCACCTTGGTAAATACTTTCTGAAGAATAAAATAATCCTACCACTATGACTCACCTGAACCACTGTGAGACCCTTCCAACAGGTCATGTCCATCCTATATGTCATGTCCATCCTATATGTACACACACTCTCTCTCCCTCTCTCTGTCTCTCTCTCTCTCACACACAAACACTTCTAATCTTCCTGTGCAGCGCAGAACAGACTTTCCAAAGTTTCTGCCACTCTCTCTCTTAATCCTATTCTTGCTTAGTCAGCTCTGTGGTTTTTTACATATAGCTTAAAGATTTAACTCCTTCGGGCCCTCCCTGGTGGCGCAGCGGGTTAAAGCACAGCACAAAGAAGCTTAAACCACTTCTGCATGAGTTCGATCCCCACCTGCCCCGGAGGTGACCACATGGCGCGGCAGACCTCTCCTGACCCGCCTGCTGCTCCCCTCAGCAGTGTACTTCATCAATCTGCCTGTTCTGTACCCCACTCTGTCTCTGGAGATCCTCTCACCCTCCGCATCTCTGACCTGTACCCCAGTTCTGTACGATTAAATAAATAAATCTTTAAAAAAAAATTAACTCCTTCACATGGCCTGGAAGGTCTGGCCAAGTCTCCCATCTGTCTCTCACCTCCCCTCCCCTACCCTTTCCCCACCTGACCTTCTCCAGTTCTCTGCTTGTGTCTGGTGCTCTCATTTTCCTGCCTCTTCTCCACTAACCCTTCCTGACATCATGATCTCAGTTTGGGAGTCACTTCCTCGAGGAACCTGTCCTGAACCTGTCATGCATTAGTTCTCATAACAGGAAGCCAAGTAACACTGCCCTAAATAAAGTTATTTCTCTCTCAAATAAGTTTGGACAGATCTGATGGCTTTGTTCCACCCGGAAGCTTTTGTCTCCACCTTGCTAGAGTGTGGCCCACAGCTGCATGGCTGCTGGAGCTCCAGCCATTACATCCACATTCCAGGCTGTTGAGGGGTGGGTGGGAAGTGGATGGAGAATGATGCATACCAAAGTCTTGTTTTAATTAGAGATGTTAGGCCATTTACACTGAATGTAGTTACTAATACACGGGGTTTAAAACTTGTATTGACCTGTTTCTACCTCCTTTTTTTTTATCTTTTTCTTGCCTTTTATTTTGTTATTCTTTTTCTCTCCATATTAACGTAATTCATCTTTTAGTCCTTACCCTGTGCATATACACAAGGTTATAACATGAATATAATTGACTTTTTAGAATCTCATACCAACAAGTATTTTTACCAGTTCCAGAACAAGTCAAGAAACTTTAGAACATTTCAACTCCATCTTTCCCTCCTGGCCTTGGGGCTTCTGTTGTCATGTATTTAATTCTACATATAATGAAATAGTGTAAGACACTTTATTGTTTCAGACTGCCAATACAAATTCCATTTTACCAATGTTTGTTGTTAATATGTGTTTCATTCTGTCCTACATTCTGCTTCCATCTGGGATTATTGCCCAAATGGTCAATGAACATCCTTAGCATTGAGTCTTCTTATATTAACTTTTCTATTTCTCATCTGAAAACATCTTTATTTAACCCTCACTTTGAAGTATATTTTTACTGGTTGTCTATTCCTAGGTTTTCAGCTTTTTTCTTGCAGCACTTTAAAAAGAGAGATTTAATGTTCTGACTTCTATTTTCAACTGTTCGTTTTATTGTTACTTCTGCTATGCCCCCCCATATACTGAGCCCCTCCTCCCAGTACCCCTCCCCCCACTTCTGGCTATTTTGGTAGAAGCACTATTTACAATAGCCAAGACATGGAGACAACCTAAGTTGCCCTAGAAAAGATGACTGTATAAAGAAGATGTGGTGCATCTCACTGCATACTCAGTGATCCAAAGATAAACTCATGCTTTTTGTGGTAATATGGATGGAAATGAAAGGGATTACCCTATATTAAATGCTGGGTGCTTTCATTTATATGGTGAAGATAGAGAAATAAAAAAAAAAGGGGGGGTCAGACAAAGACAAACTTTAAAACCAACCCTTGAAAGCTGATTATAGTTCTGAAGCATCCGGGAAGGGAGAGGGAGGGCTAAAGAGAGGAGCATGGGAGAAAACAGGGGGAGAGCACAGTGAACCATGGTGGAGGATTATGGAAGATTTGGTGGCAGAAGAGCTAAGGTGACCGCACCTGGGGGAAGAAATCCTATATTGTAAAAAAAAAATTCACAAGGATGTAAAATTATGGTATTTCATTAAATATATAATGTTCTTTGACTTTGGCTATCAAGAATCTGAGCAGGGTATACCTAGGTATGAGTTTCTTTTCATGTATTCCCCATGGGGTATATCAAGCCTCTTTTATCTGTAGCTTAGTGTCTTTGGTCAGTTTTAGAAAATTTCAAGCCAATATAACTCTGAATATAGCTTCTGTCTTTTTCTTTATTTCCATTATTTTCTGGAAGCCCATGGACTTATTCCAAGGCCTGACCTTTTCATCAGATACCATGTAATCACTTCTGTGTTTTCATCCTTTTTTCTTGCTACCACTGTTTACTCTGGTGACCTGTCTTTTGTCATTGACCTTCTCTTCTGCTATGATCAGTCTGCTATTAAATCTAGCCATGAATTTGACCTTTTCCATCATGATATCTTAAAGATTTAAATGGCTGCTTAAGAAAAATTGTTTCTTTTTAATTGTGGTAAAATATATTTAACGGGAAATTTGCTCTCTTAATGACAGTTATTTTAAAGCCTATCCTGATGACTATGCTGTCTGAGTCATTTTGTCTCTGTTATTGACTTTTTCACTTGGTCTTACTTTGTCTTGTCTTAGTATGAGCTTAGTAGATTTTTATCTGACTTCACCACATCCAGTGAATACTGACAACTTTAGGCAGTTAGGAGACAGGTGACCTCTCTAATCTACTTTGTAACTGTACCGGTTCACAGCAAGCTTCAGGTTTTGGGAGGGAGGCTGGTCTCATTTTGGTTCCATTTTACTCTTAAGGGCGGTTTCAAGGTATTTACCAAGATTTTTATCTCCTCAGTGGGGCTCATGCTCCCTGTGCCCAACTCATGACCCCAGGCCTATGAGATTGCCAAGTGTCCACTAGATGTAGCCTCTCAGACCCCCCACCCAAGTGCTCTTTTTCTCAGCCTCTTGCCCTGTGTCATCACCAATTATCACATGGAAGAAAGCACCATGGGCGGGGGGAGGGCCATCAACTATGACACCTTCCAATAAATTGGGGTGGGGGTTTTGTTCAACTTTTCTAATTGTTCTTGTGGAAAGGCTAATCTACAACAAGCTACTCTGCTATGGTGAAGGTTGAAAGCCTTCACCTGTCTTTAAAAATTTTTATTTACATATAATGAAGTGCATAGATTTTAAGTGTACAGTTCGATAAGGATTTTTTAAGATTTATTTTTATTTTTTTATGCATATAAGAACTGGTGTATAGGCCAGAGGTGTGAGAATTCACCAGAGACAGAATAGGGAGCAGAACATGTAGACTGACTGAAATACACTGCTGAGGGGAGCAGTGGGTGGAGCTGGTGATACAACTTCTGCTGCAATGGCTGATAGTGCTGAAACTTTAACCCCTGCACCTCCAGGGAAGCCCTAGTTTGATGAGTTTTACCAAACACTTTACCCTTATAATGTTCCTTATAACTTTTCAAGGTATAGAACATCTCTGTCATCCCAAAAGTTTTCTTGTTCTTTAGTCCTGAATCTTACTCCTTTTTATTCCCAGAAGTCTTTATTCCCCAGAAGCTGCTGAATTTTCTTGAGGATGCTGCTTCAGCCTCCCCAGAGTGCTACTCCCAGACCTTCCAAGTTCTACCCATAATGCTGCAGAAATCCCCAGGGTGGAGAAGAGGGGGTGCAGGTGCCCTGGAAGCAGAGGCTGTGGGGGTGGAAATGCCTCTGTACCTCAAGGGAACAGGTGGGCTGGCATCTGTCCTGGGCATCCTCATCTTAATGGGACTCGTTAAGCCATACAACCACTTTTTTTTAATACATTTTAGGCATGGAGAAACATTGATTAAAGTAGTTGTTACCAATGTCATAAATCCTCAGGTAGAGTGACTACAGTAACAGATTTTTTAAAAGAGGCTAGGCGTATTCTGAGGGTCAGCTTGCTTTACCCAGCACCTGCCTGCTCCCTAGAAACCATCTTTAAACTGCCTGCTCCCTCGAAGCCTTCCATAAACCAAACTCCTCAAAAAACTAAACCTGAAACATAAAAGGAAAAAAATCTAGTCTTTGTTCTACATACAGCTTTTGGGATTATGACAGCCCGCTGAGGACCACTGGCACAGAGCTGGTGGCTGTGTCCTCACTGGTAACTATTATCTCATGAGCAACCTGGCAGGGGCAGCCTGGGCCTGGGAATGTGGCTGGAGGGGCCTGCCAGTCCACTCAGCAGGCGGCCACTGCCGAGTAGCAGCTGGGCTCATCCCATTAAGTGAAAGCCCTTGGCCGCCAGTCCCAATCATAAACGGTGTGGGCCAGGACTGGCCGGCAGCCCTTACCCTGGGGCTTGTTGCTGAAGGACACAGAGCACAAGGCTCTTTCCCCTCCCCCACTCTTACATCGTGCTTCCTCGCTTGAGAGGGAAACTGCCATTAATCTGCCCCAAGCCCTCTTGAGAGCTACAGGGTGGAGGAACTCAGCTGGAGGGCCGACTGTGCTAGGGAGAAAGGGTGGGGTGTAGAAAGCAGCTACCGGACCAGAGAAGGCACACCCCCTCATCTCTCTTTTTCTGTGACTGAACACTAACTGCTCCCTAACTGCTCCTCCGGTGACTACTCCCCTCAGAGCTACATCGAAGGCCAGGTTCCAGCCCTGGGAGTGTAGACAGGGGAAGGGCCGCACAGGAGGTTTACAGTGAGCTGTGGCCTCCCTGAGTGCACCCAACACAGACAGCAGAGGGGCCGAGGGACTCCCTGGTGCCTCAGCATTCTCAGCACACCCTCCCCTGCCCGCACACCTACACTGGCGACACTGTCTGTGAACTCTGCACCCATCTCTCCTTCCCTAACCTGGGCAGCTGCCCTCACTTGCCCAGACACTAGCTATGTGCCAGGCCAGTGAAGCGGCTGCCCCCGGTACCTACCACACCTGGGCCTGCACGCTTATCAGTTCCCCGCCTTGTTCCTCTACCCCAACAAGTAGGTAGTATGTGAGGCCATCTGTCGAGCAGGCTGGGGGAAATAGCAAGGTAGTTCATGAGGACAAGAAGTGATGGCCGTGTTGGGGGCCAGGCTGTCTACGGCAAGCCAACTGGCTCCCATTCCCCTCTCACTTTGTTAACAAAACTATGACCCTCTTAGGTATGAGTTACTCAAGAACGTCATGGGCCCTTCTCCTGTTTGCTTGCCATATTTTGGTAAGTGTCAGTCCATCATGGCAGGAAAGTCATTTCTCCAGCCAACGACTCCTTGAGGCATAGGCATGAGTTGTATCCTTCGTCTCTGAGATAAGGAGCTGTTGAGGGCAAGTCTGAGAGAACTTTTCTCCCACAACATGAGTGTGGTGCAAGAAAGGTTTGCCATTTCCTGCCACCAATGCTGTCATGTGAGGATGGTGGTTTTGGAGCTTATGACGAGGGAAATATAAGAGAATCACAGACCCTTAAATGACTGACAACCATCTAAGATCCGGGCATCACTGACTGACTGCATTCACCGACGCTGAAATGATTACCTGTGCTCTCGTGATGAGCTGGAATAAAGGACCCTGTTTCTTTAGAAACTTGTAGTTTGACACTTTGTGAGTTGGAGCCAAATTGTTCAAATCGAAACAGAGATGGTGACTTTGCAGACAATTCTGGCTGTGGGTGCTTAGTGGGGCAGGCTCTCCAAGCAGGGATGAATGCATGCAAAGACAGGGAGCATTTGGGAATAAAGAATCATAACTTGATTTAGAGCCAGGACCCCGAAGTTTAGGCAGATTTCTTCATGTATGGTTATGGAAAGAGATCAGATGACCAATCTGGGACTTCACCCAGAAGTCTGGGTGACGCCAACAGTAAGACCCAAGTGGTCTGGCTCCCAGACCCTCACCCTGAATGGCTTCCACCTTTTCCAAAACCTGGCCAGGCCAGGTACCTACCACGCTGATGAGCTGGGCCAGGATAAGCTGCAGCTTGATGGAGATGAGCTCGGCGGAGCCAGTGGCCGGGCGGATCAGATTGTTGTATCGGGTTTTGTTCAGAAGGTCGTCCATGAGCTTCTCCTCAGCATTGGCCATGCGGCAGTCCCCTGCGAAAACAAAGTCAGCCCTGATGGGCCCCATCCAGCTGACCCCACTGATGACAGTGATGACACTGATGGGGATGCAGGGGGAGCAGAGGGGGGTCTCCTCAGGGCCACTGGTACAGCTCAAGTGCTGGTCAGTGGGCTGTGCCCCTGGCATGGCTCATCTTCATCCAACCTTCCGTGCCTCTCCAGCACCCGCCCCTCCACCCCCCCACACCCCAGGCCCACACTCTGGTGGACCATCCTGATTTCTATCCCTGGAGCCTCCTGGCCCACTTCTGTCTTGAAGTTCACTTTTTCTTCCTCAGCTCTGCTCAGGTCACTAGCCATGAGACATTTGAGTCTCAATGTCTGCTTGCATCAGACTCCAACGCAGATGCGCTCCTGCCCTCAGGAGCTGGCGGTGATGGGGGAGAGACTATTCCATGGGAGTTTGTGTGCATTATTGAGTGTTTTCATGAAGAAGGGAACAGGATAGAGCTGTGGATTTCCTGGGTTGAGACTTGGGCAAGGTGCCTGGGAGACACCAAATGGAGGGTCCAGCTGCCTGTGGTTCTCCCACACTGAGCAGAACAGAGGTCTTGGCTCAGAACCATGTTGATGTTGATGACCCAGGAAATACAGGATCTTTCAGGGAGCCTGACCTGGCCTTTCATGCACCACCCTCCCCTCGTCATGTGGTATTCGGATCTCTGCCACAGATTTGGGGGTAAAAGGTAGGTTGAGAGGCCTCTTGTTGTTTACTCGAGGGTCTTCAGGAAGACGTGTCAGCTGTGGGCAGCAGAGGGGAAATGTGAAGAGGGATACTCAGAGGAAGCCTAGGGGCACCTGGCAGCAAGAGTAGGGAAAGAGATGGAGGCACAGAAAAATAATGTGGGGCAGAACAGCAGATGGAGTGGACACAGAGTAAGGGAGACTGTAAAGGTGGGAAGGAGCTCCTGGTCTCCCAGACTCTTCAGGATTCTGATCCCACCCTCCTGAAGGGTGCTCACTGCAGCTCCCCCACCATCTCCCTCTGGGTGGGGCCAGAGGGTCCTCAGCAGGAATTGCCCAGACTGAGCAAATGGATTCCTGGGTGGGTGCTGGGCTGGACATGAGGCCCTGGGAGTGCCTTGCTCCATGCACTTTCCAATTCATTGCCCATCTGGAGCTGATGCAGTATTTAGCGCCTTGTGAAGATACTCCTGCACACCTGCTGCCTCCTGTAGGGACAGCAGACTGCCCTCAGCTGTCAGAGGGGACTTGTAGATGCTTGCCCTAGATTGTGAGCCCCAATTCCCAGGTTCATTTCTCTGGGCCCTGCTCAGAGGCCAACTGCTTGAATACTATAGAAGCCAGCCCAGGACCTGCCTGGGCTTCTCTCACCACCCCTCTGAAGCATATGCACACACGCACGCAAGCACACACACACATATTAGAGCTGCGCTGTCGTATCATAAAGAGGGGTATCTTTTGCCCAATTCCATCTGGCACGTCTGAGGCAGCTCTGGGGTCACCATCTGCAGTTTCTGGCTCCAGTTGCACAGCACTGGGGGAGACTGATTCCCCCAAGAGGCTAGGAGGCTAGGAGGCTAGGGGGCTTGTGTTCAGCTCCGAGCTCACAGGGGCTGCTCACCTTTGGGTCTGTCCTGCCGCTCATGCATTTAACTGGCCCCAAGAGATCCCTCCCCGACCTTGAGGAGCAGCTGTGAGCTCTATTGTCAGAAGTTCTAAAAACTTTGGATAATTTATAACAACCCTCCATTTCTTGGGTGGGGAAACTAAGACCAAAGAGGGGAAGGAACTTACTCAATGATCTCCTACCAGCAACTCAGAGGCACAGCCAGATCTAGGTGCCTTCCTTAGAGCCCTTGCTGGCCTCCTGAGAATAGACTACCCTGCCACAGTGGTGTCCAAGACCTGTGGCTATGTCACGGCTATATCACCTGCACCCGTGCCTGTATTGGGGTTGGGGGGGGAGTGAAGGGGGTATTGCCTATCAGAGCTGCTGTGGGCCGGAATGCATTCTTACCTGCCCCCAAAGTGAGGGAGAAAACCCAAAACTTTCCAATCTGTGGTTTTATGCCTGTAAGGTGGCTGGGTTCAGAAGACAAGGGCAGTTTTCTCTCCCTTCACCAGGAAGAGGAACCATGGCGACGGTCTTGCACCAAACCTCTCCCCTTGCTTTTCCATTTTCACTAAATGTACATACAGGGAAATTCTGTCGCCCAGTTAAAGGTCACACATCCCAGCCAGGGGCTGACACAGTTAGAGAGGCCACCACTAGGGGTCAGTGAGACCCAATGATTCTAATGAGGAGTGGGCCCTGGTCTCTACTGGGCATTTCCTCCCTAGTGGTTCCTGCGGAAATGGGTTAAAGCTGGGAGGCAGCTAGCTACTGGCTGGAATGCTAAACCATGTGAGTATGTGCACAGTTTGAAATGGCACTTGTGAGTTCAAAATCTACATTGGAAATATGGAAAGATAATACCTATTATTTGAAATACAAACTACAGAAAGTAAAAAGTCAACAGACTCCTCTAGGCAAGTGGGTATGCACAGGCAGAGAGATTTGCAATTGCTGGGTGGGGAGTCTTACTGAGGAAGAGAACAGGAGATTTGTGTTTATTAAAAGGCAGCTATGGCGCTTGTAAGAAGTTGAACTTTTACCTTTTATAAAGAGCTCACCATATATTACCAGTAGCTTCTCTGAGTGTGTTTAAGAATCAGCCAGATAAATGCAAACTCCCAGGCTCCCGTTTACTGAGATTTGTTGTTGTAAGCCTTGGCTCGGGTCCAGGAATGTGTATCAGGGTGATTCTGAAGCAAGGAACCCCAGGATCATGCTTGAGAAACACTGCAAGCAGCTACTCAGATATCTGAATGGCCAATATGCAGGTCTGTGCATGGAACAGAGGGGGAAAGGGGGGGGGGCGCCCAGAGAGGGGGTAGGACTGGCACAGGGTCACCCAGCAAGTGGTTGCAGAGCCAGGAGACAGACGTAGGGCAAGTAACACCCTGGGTCACAGTCCCAGTTTCCCAGAGGACCTTCAGCTCCTCCAACCCTCTGTGGTATCCTTAGAAGATGGAGACCTGACCGGGCACTCTAGCTGACTAGGCACCAGAGGACGAGCTGAAAGAGACCTTGGAACTTAAGTGGAGAAACTAAGGTCCAGAGAAAGCATTCCTCACAACATCTGGCCCTGCCTGGGAAGAGCTGTTTGGTTTCTTCCAGTTCTCATACTGCAAATTCCCACCTGGCAGTCTCCACTTCATCAGCCTAATCCTCAGGCTCTGCAGGTCAGCCAACTTCGGGGACGGGGAGGGGCGGGAGGTCCAGAGGAAGTGGTGGTAGAAAAGTGTGTTTCAGACGATATCTGTCCCAAATTGCCATACACTCGGAGGCTGGTGATTTGGCTCAATCAGTTTCCCTCTAGAAGGTTCTCTCTCTCCAGTAGCAGTCGGTGCCTTTGCTCTGAGGCTGGGCAGCGGCTAGACTCCAGGATAAGATACCTGGACGACCCTGAGTCACCCCGAGTCGATGCCTGGCCGCCTCCCTCCTCTGGTGCGAGCGGAGCTTCCAGCAGAACCAAAGGAATTCTCGCGGCCGCTAGGCTCCGAGGCGCGGGTCCCCTAGAGAGGTCGGCACTCCAACCTCGAAGACCCACTCCCCAGACCCGCCCCCGCGCTCAGCCCCGCCTCCGACCCGGCCAGACAGGGCACCTCGGGACACTCCCCCCGGCGCGGAGCACCCCCTTCCCTGCCACCTGTGACCGGCCCAGGAGGCTCTGGCGTACCCAAGGCTCCTCCCTCCTTCCCCGAAAAGAACTCACCGAACCCACACAGGGCCAGCAGGAAGAAAAGGATAAGGGGGCCAGTGCTCCTCATGGTGGGCTGGGGACTGGGAGGCAGCCTGGGCGAGCGGGAGGAGTGACCGGAGGACACTGACAGCGAGCGTGCGAGTACCCGCCTCGCGGCGGGCAGGAGCGGAAGCAATGGACACTAGGACGCCTCGGGGACGTTCGCCCGCCCCGCCAGTGCTGCAGCCTTGAGCCCCGCCCCCTGGGAGACGGGGCGGGACCGACGTGTCAGGGGCGGGGCCGACTCGCTGGGGGCGGAGCTGGAATTTCAGGACCTGGGAAGCAGGGACACTGGCATGTTAGCCAGAGTTCTTCTGGACTTATGCTGGCCTCTAACCTTCCCAAACAGATGCTCTCAGGACAGCACCTGCACCCTTTGTACACTGGGAGAGGAGGCAGGCACTAGCACAGGATCTTCCACTGTTTGCGGCAAGTGGTTGTAATTCAACCCTTCAGAAGGGAGGTCTCTGGGTTTTGCCAGGGGTCTTAACTCAGGGGTTTGCTGAAAGAAAGGAGCGCTGCAGGTAAAAGAGAGTTAGCCAGATGGAGTGGAGTGGAGTTGTCTGCAAACATTGAGGAGAAAGCACTTAGGAAAACTTTGGGGAGTGTGAGATTTGGGGTGGTGACCTAGCTCCTTTCCTTACCTCACTTCTGGTATTGGGAAACCAGAGAGAATGATGTCAGAGCTGGCTGGCTGGGGTCTTCAAGTTGGACTGACCAGAACCAGAGGTAGATTCAAGGGAGCAAGTGTTCCCTGTCTCCAGCCAGGGGATCTTCCTTAAATTTTGGAATCAGCACCAATACATTAGGGTTTGGGGATCTCACAGGACAGGCATCCACACCAGGGCAGCCTCTCCTCTGAGCTGGGTCAAAACTGGTGTCTCAATCCTGTATCTAAAGGGGCCTGACAGATTCCCGTGCCCATGAGACACTTCCTCTCACCCCAGCCTCTCCCCCTCCTCTTCTAACTGGGACCCTACAGGTAAATCCAAAAAATGGAGGAACAAGATGGGAAAATTGTGTGTGTGTGTGTGTGTGTGTGTGTGTGTGTGTGTGTGTAAAGACACATTTACCCAATAGACAGCTTTGCCACCTTCTCTCCAGATTCTTAAATCTTGCTTTTGCGGTGCATCCCCACTGTCTTGTTGCTGCAATCTGACATCGGTCAGGATTGGTATAGGAACTGGTACAGGAACTTTAAAAGAGAACACTGATAAAATGGAGCTGTCTTTTTCTTTGGGATGGCTTGGAGAAGATAGGCTTCAGTGCATTCTCTCTTCCACAAGCTACAGCAACAAATAGGTAGCAAATGTCATATGATATGTTATAATATGGACACAAACCTATTAATTAGCATTTAAAAACATGTGGGAAGCAGCCAAAGTATAAAAGGCAGAGGAATGAGAAACTAAATTCAGAGTTGTGCTTCCTCTGGTGATGGGAGGGAAAGCTTGGGGACAGGTTTTACAGGTATCAAAATGCTTTCTTTCTTTCTTAAAAAAAAATTATTTAATTATGCATACAAAAACTAGGTTATAGGCCAGAGGTGAGGGAAGGAGAAGGTGAGAGGATCACCAGAGACAGAGTGGGAAACAGGCAGATCTAATAAAAAACATTGCCAAGGGCCCACCCTGGTGCCCCAACCGGTTACAGAGCAGCACTGCAAAGCTGGCCGCAGCCACTTCCGTGGTGAAAGTTTGATCCCCTACCCCACCCCATCCCACCCCTCTGCCCAGGAGGTGACCACATGATGTGTGGCAGACCTCTCCTGACCCGCCCCCTGCTTCCCTCAGGAATGTACTTCAGCAGTTGGCCTGTTCTGCTCCCCACTCTGTCTCTGTCTCTGGTGAATCTTTTCACCACCTCTGTGCCTCTGGCCTTGTACCCCAGTTCTATATGCATATATATCTATATAGATATATATAGATATATATAGATATATATAG